ATGTCTTTCTAGAACAGTGGTTCTCAACCTTTCTAATGCTTTGACCCTTTAATACAGTTCCTCATGTTGTGGTGACCCCAACCATAAAATTATTTCATTGATACTTTATAACTGTATTTTTGTTGCTGTTAGGAATTTTAATGTAAACATCTGTCTTTTTCAAAGGTCTTATATGACCCCTGTGAAAGGGTCCTTTGGCCTCCAAAGTAGTTACGATCTACAGGTTGAAAACCACTGCTCTAGAAATTTGTCTTATAAATGTCTTTATGACCTTTGGGGACCAACAATGTCTGACGGCATAAATATCACCCAAAATAGTGATGATGGATAAATTAGACTTCAGCAAAACTTAGAGTACATCTTTCTCAGAGGATAGCCTTATGAAAATAAGATGTTTTCACTCACCTTCACAATACAGAAAGAATACCCACAAATCAACCATAGAAAGATAGGCAGCCACAGTAAAATCTGAGCAGCAAACTCCAGGAACGCTTAACAAAGCATTTGCCCCAGTGATCAGTGGGGGCATTTGAGGAAGGGGCCAAGACTTTCAGTGACTAACACATACAAATAATGCCGCAGAGAATGGAACTATGCCCTCAGAGGGATGACTTAAGCTACAGAAAGGCCTCCAATCCAGCGATGGAGATTGCAGGTGAAACCTATGTGACCTTGCCAGCAAAATTGGTGGCAGGTACAGACGTAAGAGCAAGGGTCCTGCGTGTGTGTGGGAAGCTGGGTGCAGAACTTCCATAGGTTTCACACAGAGAGACGAAATCACAAAGACAAGAAGAGCTTCTGGACGTATCTGCGAGGGATTAGTCAGATTAGGTTTACCTCTGAATTTGCTGATAATTCCTTAGTGTGGCGTGATTCTACCCCTTTGGAAAGGGAATGTTTACTTTGGGCCATTGCACATTAGAAGTATATAATCAATTTTTGGGGGATTTCTTACATGAGTTCTATATTTAACGTTTCCACCTCTCCCTCTCCTCATTTAATTCCTTCCAAGTCAGTCCCTCTTCTCTCTCCTCTCACATTCATGATCTCTTTTCCCTTATAATTTTTGCTGTGTTATATGTACACACACAAGTGCGTGTGCACATATGTGTGTGTGTGTGTGTGTGTCTATGTGTATGTCACCTACTAAGTCTACTCAACGTTGCTTGTATGTACATGTGACCGACTTCTTGGGTTCAGATAATCTTTCAGGGGGAAGTCATCTCTGGCCAAACTGACTCTCCCTCCCTCTCTCAGCAGTCACTGGTTGCCTGTAGCTCTTCATCTAGAGATGGAGCCTTTCGAGATTTTTCCCCATCCGTGTTGGCATGGCAACTGGTGGTCTCATTATGCAGGTCTTGTTCAGGCAATGGTGTTCACTGGTACAGCTACATGCTGTGTCTAGAATACACCACCTCCCCCCGTACCCCAAAAAATCAAGAAATCAACTCTGCATCCTTAGCAATTGGGGAAGCACAAACTAAAACAACTCTGAGATATTTTCTCACCCCAGTTCAGAATGGCTAAGGTCAGCAAAACAGCCAACAATAAATGTGAGTCAGGATGTGGGGGAAGAGGGTGTCATTCACTTTGGTGGGGCTGCAAGCTTGTGTAGCCACTTTGGAAATTAGTGTGGAGAGTTCTCAGAAAGCTAAGAAGTAGATATACCACATGACCCAGCTACATCACTCCTTGGTATATATACCCCAAAGGACTCAATATCCTATTCTACCCATTCTTGCTCAGCCACGTGCATTGTTGTTCTAGTATGTAGTCAACTTGATTGTCAACTTGATGGCATTTGGAACTAACTAAAACTCAAGTGGCTGTGTGCACCCACGAGAATTTTTTTCTTAATTAAGTCATTTGAAGTGGGAAGGCCCACACCTTTACTCTTGACCACACCTTCTGTAGCAGCCTCTATAAAGGACATGGGAGGAGGAAGTTTTACTCTTTGCCTGCTTGTTCTCATTCTCATTGGCATATCTATTCCTTCACTGGCATTAGAACCTGCTTCTTTGGGATTCTGGCATATATTGAAAGCCAGCTGAGACACCCAGCCTCATGGAGTAAATAACTGCTGGAGTCTTGAGCCTTCTCTTGGTAGGCAACCATTGTTGGACCATTTGGACCACAACCTGTAAGTAATTCTAATAAATTCCCTGTATGCACACGCAATGTAGTATAATATATATCCAATAGGTCCATTCCTCTAGAGAACCATGACCTAGTACAAGTAGGGTATAGAAACAACCTAAATGTCCTTTGACCAATGGATGGTAATGAAAATGTGGTATGCATACACAGTGCAATTCTATTCAGCTGTAGGAAAAAATAAAACGTGAAATCTGTAGGTAAATGGATGGAACCGGCAAAACATTTTACTGATCAAGGTAACCCAGACCCAGAAAGACAAAACACCATAAGCTCTCTTCCAGATCTTTAGATATGAGTATAGAACCTGAAGTAACGGCAGAAGCCAAGAATGCGTCTTGGTTTGTGGTGTTATAAGAGCTCACAGTTAAGAGTTCCAATGAAACTGTGAACCCTGTACTTTCAACAAGGTTGAAATTATTACTAAACACCATGGAGGAAAACGAGATTGGGAGATTATGGCTTCAAAGCAATGTATTTGGGGGTCAAAAGTAAACAGAAAAGTGGATTTGCGATGGGTAATAATCATTATCAATTTGGGATAAGCTCAAGGATCACTGAGGATACATGCCTATGAGGAATTCTCTTGATTAGGTTAAATGAGGTGGGAGAACCCACCTTGAAAGTGGCCAGCACTATTCCCTGGGCATAAACCCTTGACTACATAAAGACAGAAAGCTAACTGACCATCACTAACCATTGCCCCCTGGTTTTGGAGTGTGCGCAGCGTGACCAGCTGTCTCACGTTCCTGCTTCCAGGACCCTCCTGCCAGGGTGGACTGTAACCACAGCAAATTATGAATCAAAATAAACTTTCTTTCTTTAAGTTGCTTTTCTCAGGGCATTTTATCAGAGAGACGAGAAAAGTAACTGCAACAACCAGCAATTGGGGATATGTCTGACTGCTAACAACCGAAGCAGGAACTCAAACCTGAGCAGTCCAATAACACACACCGATAACTGGAAGACACTTGAGCCATCAAATACTAAGAAATGTGTTAGGGACTTTACAAGTATATTTCTCAGATAACACACCATTGGTGATTATTACTAAAGTCTGTTGTGGTTAGGTCGATCTATGAAAATTCTATGAATTCTCATTCTGTGAGAATTTCACTGAGACCTATTTTCCAGTTTATTGAGAATTTGTTTTTATGTCTCAGCACATGGAATATCTTGGTCAATGTATTTCATAAGAATATGTACTGTGTACTGTAGGGTGGTATCTTGTACAAACATGGTCGAGATGTTTGATTACATAGAGACTGACTTAATAGTCAGATGCTTTTGTTCACATTTGATTCATCGTTCAAGATGGTTAAAATGAGACATTTCCTCAGATTGATATTTACATACCTATGTATATCTAACATGCGTGTAATCACTCTTCAAACTTGAACGCTTGTCCCAATATTTCATCACTATGAATAGACTGAGAGGCAAAGACAGTGAAAAGTAATGCAGCTTAGGAAGTACATTTGAGGTCATTTTGTCAACTCCAAATATTTTACAAATTTAAACAGAACCTAGAACACCTATCTTTCCAAAATTTATTACACAATGGTGCCTGCCTACCTGAAATGCCTCCCCTGACTCCAGATACAAGCCTTACATATCTAAACCTCAGGTCAATAGAGGCTGGAGACCAATCCTGTGCCTGGGGAGACATGAGCTATACACCCCCGAGAAGTGTATCATTCTCTGTGATAGTGGTGCCATGTCACCTCGGTATGACCAGACCCCAGAGGATCTTTGCTGTCTGGTATGTTTCTGGAAACTACTTCAAGATGTTTTCTGGTTGTCACTAGCATACATAGTGGAAGATGTCAGTTGACAGAATGAAGCCCTGTGTAATTTCAGATATGAAATGAGCTATTAAAGTGCCACACGGGCTTGGGGCTGGTTGTACCATTTGGACATGACACTGGAGCTCTCTCTGGGAGCCCTCTTTAACTTAGAGGAAGGGGCATCCATCAAAGGTAAGCAGCCTCTTGCATTTCTTAATTGTTTATTTATTTTATTTAAATCAGAAACAATCTTGTTTTATATGTCAATCCCAGTTCCCTCTCCCCCCAATCCTCCCACACATGCCCCCACCGACCCCCATCCCATCCCTTTTTTTTGCTCCATAGAAAGGGTGGGGCCTTCCATGGGGGATCATCAAAGTCTGTCACATCCCTCTATGGGGAATGGGCTCCCAGTGTCCATTCGTACACTAGGGATAAATACTGTTCCACTACCAGAGGCCCCATAGACTTGTCCAGGTCTCCTAACTGACACCCACGTTCAGGGGGCCTGGTTCTGTTCCATGCTGGTTTCTGAGCTGAGCTGTCAGTCTGGGGTCCATGAGCTCCCTCTTGTTCAGGTCAACTGTTTCTGTGGGTTTCCCCCCAGCCTGGTCTTGACCCCTTTGCTCATCACTTGCATCTTATAATTTTTTAAAAAAAGTTCTCATGTATCCAAGGTTGGCCTTGAACTTGCCATGGAGTTGAAGGTGACCTTGAACTTCGGAGTCTCCTGCCTGTACTCCGTGAGTTCTGGGATTACAGCAATATGCCACAACACCCAAATTTATCTACCACTGAGGATTTAACCCAGAGCTTTGTGCATACTCTACCTACTGAGCCCCACTCCCAGCCCCTGACACTGGTTTCTTTATGAAGGGTCTGGGGCTTTCTCCCAACTGTGTAAGCCATGGAGTCTCCAACATGAGGGATCCGTGTCTCCTCCTTCACCTTCTCAACTCGTCTTCAACACGGCAAATTGAAGTTTGCTTGAGTTATGTGTCAGAATTTAAAGACTTGGCTGTAGTTAATCTCTCTGCTACTGCAGAGGCGCTAATGACAACCAGCTGAGTGAAGGAAGAGGCTCAGACTTGGAAAAACAAACCAGTCCTCAGCCTGGAGAAGGCTCAGTGCCACAGCCCCAGTGTTGGGGGGTGGTATGGAACCTTGGGTCACAGAGGGATGTGCCTGGAAGGCTTTTGTTCTACTGTGGAGATGACCCAGCCCAGGGATGACTGATGCACTAAGGTCGGTCTGAGATGACGAGAAGAAGGCTCCAAAAAAAAAAAAAATTAAGTACACTTTGCACTGCTGCGGTCTCAGAGGGACCAAGCTAGCAGAAGAAAAAAGTCAGTCAAAGTTTAATACTCCAAAGCCAGTATGTTTCCTAATGGGAATATGAGTGGAAAACAAACGGGTTGGGCCAGCAATCCTTCCAGACGGCCATCATTTGAATCAGGAAAAATTCTATCCGAAGAATAATAAACTGACTCAAGATGAACATAAGCCACAACCCATTTACCCACAGGTAAATATTTTAGCAAATTTACTGACTTGGATAAAGTGAGAGTTGGCAGGCTCAGGTGAAACGTGCTGACATCTCTTGTCTTCTGATATCTGCGGATGTCCACGATGAAAACAGATCAGGGGCTGGGGAAATTATTCTGCCCCTAGATTCTCGTGACTTCGTTACTTTAAATAATGTGCTGATGATACAGGGTGCACCGCTTTGTAATGAGACAGAATGGTAGGCACGCCTCTAAGAGACGGTGCACAGGAAACTAAACTTCTCAATTCGCCGAACTCCTTATCTAAAAAAACGTTCATCCGCGAGCCGTAGCCCAGACAACGCTGCTGACCTGTGATAACTTGAGGAGATAAGGAATGTCCTTACCTCCCCGCAGAAGAGCCAGTCAACACGGCCTGTGGAGTCAGTCGCACGGTATGGGCTGCTGGGGCCTGGAATAGTACTCTTCTCTGAAATCAATCCTGTTTACCCTTTATCAAAAGGTCAGAGGCTTCTCCTGAGGCTTCTAGATAAGTCTGTATTGCCAAGTAGCTACATCTTCATATCCATAGCAACAGTGCCATGTCCAGGCTACCAATACCTCATGCAAACAGCCTGGTATTTACACCCAGCTCATCTCTACACTGTTCATACTACCGGGTGCCGTGCGATGATGTGTTAAGTGGTTATTGGCAAGCAGAAACGTTCGCATCCTGAATAAAGACATGAGTAATACATTTTCTGTCTAGGTTGGCTGAACCCATAGATACTGACGGTCCATTGTGTTATTTGCTTGAGTGTAGGTCCCTTTAGGAGGTGTGTTTCTTTACTTCCTCTCTTGAAGACAGGAGGGAGGCAGGAGCCCCCGGGAGCTCCTCCTGCTGGTGTGTGTATACTGGCCAGACCCTGGTTTCTCCCAGTAGTTGCAGTTTAAGAAATTGTATTTCATTTTCTCATCATTTTGTGCTGACTTTTACGTGATTTGAGAGGAAGGGGCTCAATTCATCTTTTCACATAGGCGTGTCTAGTTTCCCCAGCATCACTTATTTTGTTGATCAATGGTGACATTAATCTCTTTATTTCTTCAAGGTCAAGAACTCATAAGCTGGAGGAGCACAAGGATGTATTCATGTTTACTGATCCTCCAATTTTTTTTGCCGTAATGATCTGTAATAATATTCCATATTTCTGTGTTATCAATGACAATGTGTCCTGTTTTAGTATGTTGACGTTATGCAATTGCTTCTTTCTTTTCTCTTTGTGTATCTAAAGGTTTGGTGATTTTGTGCTTTCCAACAACAGAGTTTTGATTTATGAACCTTTGTATTGTCCTTTAGTCTCAGTCTTATTTAATTCTGCCCTGATCCTTATTGTTTATGGCATTTCAGGTTTCACTTGTCCCTTTAGCTATTTGAATTGTATTATCATGTTATTTGAAATCTGTTATTGTTTCCCCGAGGTAGATGCTGGTGATGTTTGCGTCTGCCCCCCCCCATCTTAGGCTATGAGTGTTGTTGGGTGTGACTACATGGCTGGTTGCTGAGACCAGGGGTTGGATCAGTCACCCAGTATCTGGAGGAATGGACACAGGCACGCTGTGTGCTGCAGGCTGGCCAGATACGCAGCAGGCTCACTCATTCCAGGGACAAAGCTGTGGCCTGGATGGCCGTCGGGCTGTTTTCTATCACGGTCAGGTGCTGTGTACTGGTCAGCTGTGTAATTGGCTTCATGGAGGGAGGCGGAGCTGCCTGCTGGGAGCTAGGGAGGTTGCATACGTATGTGAGTACGTCAAGGCTCTGTATGTCACCTTTCCCTCTATTTAAATCTGCCTGTTCCCTGGGGGACAGACTGGGTTTTGTGACCCATTAGTCCTTTTGTGACTGGCTGGGCTCTGAGTTCTGGAGTGACGGCGGTGCAGCCACTCCCGTGAATGGAAATACGCCACGGCTGCTGACCCCAGGGTGGGATGCTCTGTAACCGGGAACAAGCTTTAAGGGGTCAGCCTGAGTCTATAACGTGAACCTCTGACAGGGGACCACAGGTCCACGAACTCAGGGCAACTCTCCATGCTGCTTGTGGCCTGTGAGAGCGGCCTCAGTCTCTTGCTGTGAGGACTACAAGCATACAGTGTCTACAAGAATTCTTCTCCTCCGAGGGGATGCAGATCTGGATAGGGACACGGGGTGAAGGAGGCCATCTTCTCTCCAGTCTGTGGCCATCACCCTGTTTTGATTCGTTGCACAGGGGCCACACCCCTGCCGCTCCAGTCAGAGTGTGGTGGTTTATTCTCTGTGATCCTTCGGTGCATGAGGGAGGGACATGGAGGGAGGGAATGTGATGGACAAAGGTGCTCGGCTGTGTCAACCTCCCATCCGGATTCCGCTTTTAGTCTTCGTTTTTCCCACAGGGCCTGACACAGATTTGCAATCGGTCTTCCTCACTCTGTCCCTCAAGTCAGGAAAGTCAGCGCTGGTTTGTCAGAACCAGGGTGTTGCTGATGTTTCAGTGAAACCTTTGTGTTTTTGTCTGCATTTAAGAAAGACCCTTGGGCCTATTATAGCTTGATTATCCCGCAGTCAGAGACACAGGCCTGACACTTCAGAGATAGCTTCTATTTCTATTCATGGCCCTGTGGCTACTCCTCATAAGGGGCCTACCGTGACAGGACCTCCTGCCATTAGAGACACAATTCAGTTTGATTACACAATCAAAACGCTTAAAAATAGGGCTATAACTGTGGGTAAAGGGTATGTAAGTATTTGACAATTGTGTGCATGCATGCGTGGGTTCAAATACCTTCTTTTCATTTCTGGAGAAGTCATTACAGGCAAAGTTACACGGTCCTGTGGTGGAAAGGCAAATAAACGGCAGCCAACTGGGTGAGCTCATGCACCCCCGACCAGTCGGTGGTAAGTACATGGAGGGAAAAGGGTCTTTTTCAGTGCACAATCTGCGGTGTATGTCTTTGCGGCGATCCATGTTTAATAACAGACTCCCCTGAGCAGCATCGCAGCTGAGAGCAGCCTATAATCCCGTGTGCTGATTTTACAGTTGTCATCTCTTGTGGCTGCTTCTTATTTCCCTAAATGCTTAGAGAGAAGTTTTGCTCCTTAGTTAAAGGGCAAATGCAGAAAAAAATCCCATTCTTTCCCTCTGTGTCACAGTTGAAACTCTGACTCTCTGGGTTGTTGTTACTTCAAAGTCTGTAATTATGGTCTCTTACAGGAGGGTCCAAAATTTCCCTGTACCCATGGACTTTAATTCTTCCTCCCAAGGAACCAAAATTACCACATTTCTTTATTCCACCACATCGGTTTCTTAAACGCGCCCACACTTCTGTGGTTTATTAGACTGTGTTTAATGAAAATTGAGTTATTTTAAGGATGTCCTCTGTGGTCATAATGATGATGATTAATGTTATCATAGGTGTTTCTGTTTTTTATTTTCAAGAGTTAGCAGTGTGCATGTAACTGTGGTGTACAAGGATGGTGAACATATAGTTTGTCGTACTGGCTGGGACACCTGAGTGTCATTTCCTTCTGCACCACAGGTATAAGCTGGATAAGTGTAGATACGGGCTTTTGCAGTTCCTTTAAATGCGTAAACACGTCTCTGCCAAACTGGAGGCTGCGAGGACCCGCCTGAGGGGGAAGAGCTGGGAGGATGACTTTCCAGCGGGGCCGAGCCGGACTCTGAGAAGCGCGCTGTGTACCGATAAGACTGACTACCCCCAGTCGTCCTGCAGATAATGTGCTGTCCTGACACTGGAGTTCTAAACCGGCGGTACACAGGCCGCGAAGGTGTCGAAACAAGCCACACGCCAAGAATTTGAAGTCATCAGGAAAGCTGACTGAGTGGAGTGTAGGAGGTCCCTGTGTCCTGCCTGGTGGACTTCTCGGAAACCCGGGAAGGGCCCTGCACAAGCGGGTACAAGGCTTGTGGGACCCGGAAGGAGTTTGATAAGGAAAGAATTTTAAAAAATTGATTACAAAAACGAGCTGAGTGTTTCAGGTGTTGCAGTGCGTGCTAACTCTGGGGCACGCGTCTTCACGTGACTGTCCAGTGGTGACTCACCTGTGCGTAAAGGTCGCTTAACTTTAGTGACCACATCGATACAGATGACTAAGCCAAAGAGAAAATACTTTCAACCCGAATCTTTTCATCGGTGTCCAAGAAAGCCTTGGCTCACTGTTTGGGAAGATGCTGCTGTTCACTCCTTGTAGATAACTGTGTCTCTGTATTGACGAAGTGAACGGCGCAATCACCTTACACTTTGAAGCCACTCACGAGCGTTCTGTGGGGGAATTGTTTTTGCCCTAGTTGTGTCTATTAGGATTAGAGTTGTGTAGAGGCAAAAGGTTATAGAGGAGAGACAAAGTAATGGCTAGTTTGAAAAGTTGGCCTCAGGATGCGTAGTCATCTATCCCAAGAGTGACATTTAGCCCTCTGGGTGCTGTGGAGATAGCGGTATCAGAAGATGATGTGAAGCCAAAAAAAAAAAGTCTTGCAGCCTTGTATGTAGCCATTAGAATGTCAAATGATACCTGTTTGTGATATTGCTGGGCTGTCAGCCACACAAAAGTACAACCTATACAACTACACACAGTGTGTGGTAATTGTAGACCTTGTCCAAAAGAAAAAAAAAAGGAACTGGGTTTGTCAAACCTTAATCAAATGAATCAGTACATTCATAAATAAATACATCAGGAATGTTGGGAGCTCACATGTCATATCTGACAACACCATTTTACAAAGACCCTGATACCACTCAACTTTTCAGAAATAATTCCAGCCCCCCCCACACAATACTTCTGCAAAAACATTGGTTCAGGAACCACCTGTTCAGCCCAAGCCTGACACCGCCTTTGCTGGGAATCTTTCTAGCCTCTGATTGTTTCCGGTTATTTGATATTACTTATTTCACCGTTAAAGACTTCCCTTTAACCTCAGCTTTCTGGAAATGCCATTGGCTGCAGCATGCCTGACCCCTTGCCATGTTACTCTTCTCCCATTGTGTTTTGGAGAATCTTCAATTGTTGTATTGACATACCGCTGTTAGTAGTGGGGTCTGTGGGGTCTGACCAGCCTTGGAGAGAACTCTGACACTGTGCTTGGTGTCCTTGGCACTCTTGGTTTCCATGGTAAGCCCTTCCTGCCCTGGAGAATCTTCTCAGGTGGGTTGTGTGTGTGTGTCTGTGTGTGTGTGTGTGTGTATGTGTGTGTGTGTGTGTGTGTGTGTGTGTTACCCTTGTGGACTTTATTTGGGATATGATTTGGGTAAGGTCACCTTTTAATCCTTTATTTGATTAAGGTTACAGTTTTTGTTTCTTTGAGGGTCCACCCAAGACTGGTTTTGCAAGCCTTTCATGGTATAAGGAATCATCCTTCTGGGTTGCCTGATTTCCTGAGAACTTATACTTTGTGAATTCATCAACTCCCTTCTAAAACGTTATTTCCTGGGTTTGCAGGTTTAATACTGCTTGATTTGTATCTTGATGGGTTCTGGCCTCTTTCCAGATTACTCCAAAGGGGAGTCTCAAAAGAATCATGCCCCAGGAACTCTTACCTCTGACAAATAGTGTAGAAAACAAAGATTTTGTGTGTTGTGGAGATAATGTCTGATGTGTTGTTATATACATATGTGACATATGTATATATGATATACACACAGACTCACACACAGAGATACACATACAGACACACAAACACAGACATGCATACAGATACAGACTTATTCACAGACAATGTAGACACAGATACATAAACTTTGCACAGGCACACATGCAAGCACATACAAACTCACACACAAACATATAAAAACACACAGTGACACAGACACATATTCGGAGATGCACACACACAGGGATTCACACACACATTTGCGTGTTCACTTACTTGGAAAAATTTAACCTTGAAGAGTTAGGGATTTCTTTTCTTTTTATCTGTCTTCTGCTTTGAATTTTTTTTTTGTTATCAGTGGTTAAGTAAACAACTGTTATTTCCCAATGCTCTGCACGCCTGTTTTGATCAAGTGCTTTCATACCTTGGACATTTTTCCCAGCCTCCCTTGGTATGAACACTAATGAAGTCTTTCTGACATTTGTATTTCCCAGATGAGTCTCTGAAACATCCCATCCCCTGCCCCCAGTAAAGCACATCACCTCACAAAATTATCAGAACACGGATGAGGAAGCCGGCCCATGGGTGACACTGCTAATGAGTGCCAAGCAAGAATTCATTACATAAGTAGCAGCCGAGTTGAGCTCACAAAATGCATGCCTTCTTACAGCTTTTACTTAAAACACTGTTGGGTTTTCCCTTAAATATTTTTCCCCTTAAATGTTTTTATTTTCTAGAGTTAAATGACCTCTTTCTTAAGCTGCCTGTAGTTTCCATGCAACTCAAAGCTAACTCAACAAATAAAGAACCCTCCACCCTCCACCCTCCACCCTCCACCCAAAGGTGGGAGGCAGGGACATATACATACCTGTCTTCAAGGATGCCAGGCATGTTTCTCCAAAACCTGGGCCGCACCAGGCACAGGGGAGTGAGAGAGGCCCTGCTGGACCTGGATGGAATTCATGATGTTTGAAATGAGCTTCAAGTGAGCACCTGGGGCTGGCTGCCTCTTGGCCAAATGCACGGTGGGAGGCCTCGGCCCTACTCAGTGCTTGGCAGGTTGGAGCTGAGTCAGGAGACCTCAGAACGTTTTACCCGGGGATCCTTCCTGCCTCAGGGCTCTGACTCTAGGCACTTGGCTCACAGATGCCTTCTTTTCCCATGGGTTGGGGTCGGGATACCATTCCCTACCGGCAACACTGTCAGCTCCAGCATCACCGTGACTATTCTGTGATCGGCAATTGCTCAAAAAGCGGGCATCGGTTGGCACAGCAGGCACACCTGTCACCCCAGCAAGTGGGAGGCAAAGGAGGAGCCGTTCTCGGTGGGCATTTACATCGTGATTCATAACGGTAGCAAAATTATAGCCATGAAGCAGCAACACAAATAATTTTATGGTTGGGGGGGCGGTCACCACAGCTCGAGGAACTGCATTAAAGGGTCGCAGCATTAGGAGGCTGAGAGCCACTGCTCTGCACTATGAGACCTTGTTTAGAAAGTGTTAGGTGTAGGGTCTGGACACAGCAATGAGCCCGGCAGAGACCACAGGCAGTGCCTCAGGACGCGTGGTCTTACCCTGCTTCTGCCTCAGCTAGCACCAACGCCCTCCAGGATAGGGTGGCCCACATTCAGCAGGCCCACCGTGGGTCCCGAGCCTCGGGAGGAGTGACCCGAGCCAACCTACCACCCCATGCGTCTCCAGCACCACGTGGGGTCCTGGTCACGCCGGGGTAGGAAGATACCAAACATCAGTGCTTCCTTGGGAGGAAAAAAAAATCACGGAGCAGAGAGTGACAGTTGGACATGGGCTTGCTGCCACGTGTGTGCAATAACGACTTGTCTCCATGCCTACCTTCAGATTCCATGTGAGTGAATGCGAGCAGCCAGAGGGGATGTCTGAGGAGAAGCTTCCCGCCTGCCGCCACCGCCCTTTCTTCTGCTCAACTCCCGGAGGTTTTTTTGTTTTTGTTTTTTGTTTTTTTTCTGTTGCGGTTACCGTAAATCCCAGGTCTCTCACAGGACACAGACCCGGGAAGACCTGTCTATTATCTGAGTCCTATCTTCTTTACCCTAAGTCCCGCCTTCTGCCACACTTGGCGGCATGCCCTCGTCCTCCGGGCCTTTTCCACACCCCCCATTCAACCCGGAAAGTCCCCTTCCCCTGTGACCCCAGTTCACACACAGACACACATGCTCTTCTACCCTCCGGTTAGTGTGGGTCACTCATGCCTAAACTTAATGCCGCTTGCTTCCGGAAGCTTCCCAGACCTCCAGCTTCCTGGTCCCGAGTGTTTCGGTGGCTGCTTCTACCTAGAGTTTATGGTGGCTGCTGGTCTCAATGTGTGATTGTGTGATGACAGTTTTTTTTAATTCTTTTTCTTTTTCTTCGATACCGTGGCTTGGTTTGACAACGTGACCCCGGGGGCTCCTGTTCCTGGCCCACCTGGACCAGAGGGAGTGCTATGCAGCATCGGGAAGTGGCCGATGGACACTCGCTGGGTTCTGTTGGTCCCTGCCTCTGTCACGACCAGAGTGTCATTTGCTTCCATCGGCACCCACGTGACGTTGGACCTGGCACGTTCTCTCCCTTTCCCTGAACTGCTTATTACGCCCTGCAAACCTGCACAGACACATCAGGGACAGCTGCTCCCATCATCCCCACAGACTCTCTACCACCCCCACCCCACCCGCGCACGGTAGCGGCTAGATGCACGCTAACCTTGCAATCTTCTTATTAAACATGTGAGAGAAAGTACTGCGGGCATCTCCCCAGTGTCCATCCACAAAGACTTTTGTCCAGGTTTACACAGAGAGTTCTTTTAGAAACTGGGGCGCGGGCATCTTCTTGGGAAGGAGAGGTGTGTTTGTCGCTGTCTCGAGCGCGAGAGGTGCAGTTGCGTGTTTGGGCAGCGGGGCGGTATGTGTGGCCAAGACTGGCGGACCCACGCCTGCTGCTGTTACTGGCAGACGTTACTCATCTCCCGTTGCTGAAGATGGCTTCTGTTTGATAACCACTGTTTCCCCACATGTCTGGAGATCTGCCAGGCGATTTCTCTCCTTCCAAATCTGGTAGAGCATGGCTCTTCCAGCGCAGCTCGGAGCTATGGAAATTTTTAAGAAGAGAAAGCTTCCTGCTCTCGGTCTGATGTCTAATTAAGACAAAGGTATCTATCTAGTCTTTGTGAAGAACAGCGTCAGTTTCCACGTGTGGTCAAAGCAGCCCATTTGTACCTCATTAAGGATCCACAGACAAGCTAGGAGCTCTGGGTGGGGGTAGGGGGAGTCCTGGCATGCCGAGAACCGCAGTTGCCATCAGCTGCTCTGTTGTGTGTGGAGGTACAGTTGTTGCACTTCCAGGATTCCGGAGCGGGGCCCTACCTTTACCAGGCACATCCTTTAGAGTATATACTGTCCTTGACTTACAATTGCTTGATTTAGTGTTTTTCATCCTTACATTGCTGTGGCAGTGTTTTTGGACCCAGCAACTGCCTGGAACTCTTGGGAATGTTGTTATAAGGTGGTTTAGGGTAAGACGACGTCTCCTTCTGTGGGAAGACGTAGGTGTTCTGGGTGGGCTTAAGGAAGGCTGGGCATAGCTTGAGAGGTCTAGGTGTGACAATAGCACCTTCTCAGCTTATGGCAGGTATCAAGTAGCCCCGCTGTGAGTTCAAGAACACTGGAGTTATTGTAGAACATGTGTAGCTCCCAGCTGGACCCCATCTGTGCAGCCCAAGGCCTTCCCCACTCACCTTCTGGTTGAAGACGTAATGACACAGGTCTGAGCAAGTCCAAGTGCAGGTGGCCTGATGTAAGGCAGCCAGCTCTGGAGACATTCCCATGCTTTCCCACCACGCAGAAAACAACGGCACGTGGGGGAACTTGGAAAAAAGAAAAGGAAGCCCAGAGCATCGAGGTTAACCTCACTCAGCCACTTGGTTATCATCCCTTTAAAGCTCGGCCAGCGACAGCCTACAGACGCACCTCTTGCTTTCTTTGCTACACACCTTGAAAGACTTGTGTCTTCTTCTTCTCATGCAGCAGTTTCACTGATGAAGACACAGCAGGAAGTGAGTCTCCCTCACGGCTGCTGACTGAGACT